GAGAACAGTTTGACGATACCCTCCCCTATGCCTGAACTACTTCCGGTCACTAACACCACTTTCCCCGTGAAGTTACGCGAGTTCTTCACCGCTAAGTAGTCAGCGGTTGGAAAATCGTTGGGATTTATAGCCATTGCTATTGAAACCAATGCCAACAATATTACTAATATTGACTTCATTTTTCTACAATTATTTATTTATAAATATTAAACAAATTAAATATTTCTTATGTTGTACTTCATACACAATCAAACATTTCTTTATATACCCTTTGAAGTGCACTAATTGTACACTAACTCTACAGTAACTCAACACTAATTCAACACTTGTGTGTATCTGACATTTAAATTATAATCAGTACTCAAATTAAATTCTTTTAAAATGAGTAATAATTTGTAAGCAACCAGAGAATTAATTGGAACTAGATCATTTTGATTTAGAATTTCTGATTAATAAACAAGTTAATGGATTTATCGTCATGTTAAAACCGTATTATTTAACCCCTTATTTTAATTGAGTTATTTATTTAGTTGACCTTGGTACGTTGACTATTATAATTGTAGTGTAGTAATAGTATTGTCATTAACAATAGTATCTTATAATTAAGGACAAGGTTTTATAGGGTAGTGTGGGTACTATTTTCACCTGTGTACTTTTAGTTGAAATAACTCGTATTTTTGTTGTATTCATAACGCACAAAATGTATAATGTTAAATTGTTTTTATAATTATCTAATTAAATTAAATAAGTATAGAAATTAAGTTTATTATTTATTAATTTTTAAATTAAATGTCAATTATTTCAAAAATTAATAACTATTAATAACAAGGCCAATAAAATTTTAAAAAATATATTGTATTTTTTTATTAAAAATATACTCAAATAAACTATTTAGTATTAATATTATAAATTATAATAGTAAATACAAATTTGTACTTGTCCATTATAATAATGTTAAATACTGTAAAGAAATTTCTGTATTAAGCAAATAATGATTTTCTAAAAGTAATACTTAAAACAATGTAATGCTTAAAAATATTTAATATTTTAGCATACTTTGACTTGGGCATACTGTATATGCTCTGTATTTGTCATAGCTTAACATGGAGATTTGTTAAACTATTTTATTTCATATTTTTATTCAGTTACTCTATTATATAAATAAATTTCCATAAATTTAAGTCTAACGGTTTGGTCACAATAATAATTTGAAATTATTTTTATGACCGCCCCTTATATTAAAATTATAATTAAAATATCGATGAATTAATATAACCCTGTCCCATTTTTATTTTAATACAGATTTCTGTATAATCATGTATATACTCACTCATTTCGTATAAAATTCAGATTAAACTTAATTTAATTGATGCTTACGAAACTAAAAAGTTGTATAAACTTTGAAATAAATTAATTATATAAAAATTATATAATTTTTCCGTAAATATCTATACAATTTATAATACAATATTTTAAAATTATTTTCATAATTATATATTTTTGTATTTTACTTTTTAATTAATAACAGAAGTGTTAATGATCATACATTTTAAAATTAACTCAAAATCCTTGTATTATATATACTTAACATCGTGTTTATTAAATAAAATTGAACTTTAACAAAACCTCTGTCAACAAAATGTTGATTAGTAAATATGTCCAGGGTATTATTCAAGTTTCATTTAAATATCCTCACAAAAGTTAAAATAATGTTTTACAGTACAGTATATTCATGATTATTAAATATATCATTAAATTGTGATAACACACTTTAAATTAATTGTTTAAATTATTATACTGTATATTACAGTAAATATTTTTATGAAATAAATGTAAATGCACTAAACACAATATAACCAGTGTGCATATTCTTGATGTCATGTATTTGTACATAGATAATTTGTTCATTCACTGATAAAGATAAATCTACTTGCACTGATTACAAAATTTATTAAATCATCAATGTAGCACAAATAAACAAGTGACCTAATTAACATAACGTGTTAAATTCTAGACTATTAAATAACATTTCACTCGTAAATTAAATACAAATATTTTTACTTTTAAATACTATAGTTATCTTACCAAGATCTACAAATACTGTATTTAACAAAAGTAAATTTGGTGTGTCATACATTAGTACACATTTGTTAATTACTATTGTTTTTACATATCAATAAATGGTTATCAAATTGTATTTTATTAAGTCAGGTAATCTAGTACAAATGAATTATTTGGTTTCTTATAAACTAACATTGGGTTTACTAATATTATACAACTTTTAATATCTAAGTTAATCTTTTAATCTCAAACAAGATTAAAGAATATAAAACTGTATATAAACAGAGTTTTATTTAGAAATTTATATATTATTAACAAACAGTTAATTTCTATTATATTTATTAAGTATAACATTTTAAAATACATTATTCTTTCACTATGAATTCAATGTTAGTTTTATGGTTAGCATTGCTTTCAATAGCAATGGCTTTAAATACCAAAGATTTTCCAGTCGATGACTACTTGGCGGTGAAGAACTCGCGTAACTTTACGGGGAAAGTGGTGTTAGTGACCGGAAGTAGTTCAGGCATAGGGGAGGGTATTGTCAAACTGTTTTCAGTATTAGGGGCCAAAGTGGTGGTCACCGGTAGGAAAGAGGCAGAAATCCATAAAGTGGCTCAAGAGGTACAAGAATTATCACCACAAAAACTAAAGGTATATTAGAAAATAAACGACATATTTTGATTATGAATACATTTTCCATAATTAAATAATTTATTATTTTCAAAGCCATTAGAAGTGTCGGCAGATCTGACCAAAAGGGAAGACGTCGAGAGACTTATCAATGAAACCATCAAAACGTTTGGACAGTTGGATGTGTTGGTCAACAACGCCGGCCCTTATTTTAATGGCGACATTCACGACAAGAATATCACTGAAGAGTTTGATTTGATATTTAATATTGACTTAAGAGCTGTCGTGCAGACCATACATATAGCGCTACCATATCTCGAGAAAACTAACGGCACTATCATTGATATATCAGCTATTTTGGGACTCGCACCGGTATGTCATTTAAATATCACACATATTAAATATTATACAGTACTGTGCACACAATAATCATTATAATCATTATATTTTTAAAGTCCGCATTACCAATGAACTATTGTATGGTAAAAGCGGCCATAAATATGTTGACAGAGGTATTGGCCCTCGAGTTGGGACCCAAAGGGGTTCGCGTTAATACAGTCAGGTATTGACAGCCATTATATTTAAATAATAAAATCTATAAATAAAATTACACGACTAGTCCGGCAGCCACTGAAGGGCCGGGTGTAACCAAGACTATGATCGATGCGATTACAAAGTTGGCACCCCTCAGACGAATCGGCGAACCCCTGGATATCGCCAAAGCCGTGGTATTCCTGGCCTCTACTGACGCCCAGTATATCACGGGTGAGAATATAGTGGTCGACGGCGGACAGAGATATTTTGGACCCCCTTATTAAGGCTTAAGTTTTCATTAAAAGATTAATTGAGTATGGTAGTTTAAAAATTACAGTATTTAGTTATTTAATTGTATTATTTAAGTGTTTTTTGAAGCTGATATGTTTTAGTAAAAAGTTTTATGACTACTAAAAGCATCTGAAATGAATATACTGTATGTCAACAAGTTATATTATTAGAATAAATTATGAATTAACATTAATAAATTAATAAATAATTAATGCACATAAATGTCAAATTCATGGTGTACCTTGAATGCAATATTTTTTTAAATATTAGTTTATTACATAAAAATACTTTTAACCTCTTTACTAACTTACTCAAAACAAATCCATTGTAAGTTAACTATAATACTTTACCATATTAGACTGTGTTTTAAATTTAAACTATACCAAATTAAAAATAAAACCTTAATTTTGTATTTAATTATTAAAAATAATTTATAAAAATAATATAATGATGGTAAGTTAGTATTTTTATATTTGAGTCTAAGTAAAAATTAAATGTATTTAGTATTGTAAGTAAATATAATAAATAATATTAGTGATATTTTAAAGAATATTCTAATAATTAATAAAAAATATATAAGTGAGAAAATATAAATACAATTATTAATCAGTTAAAATAATTGTAAGTAAATTCTTATTTAATTTTTAAAATTAAAACTTTTATTAAAATTGTAATATAACTGATAAATTTAGTATCATATTAAATGTTTCATAAATTATCATTGATAAAGGAAATCTGTACAGAACTTGTAATACATATATATTTTATTATACTGTACAATACTTACATACAGTACTACAAATAATAGTTTGTAGTACTAAACAATACTTATACACTGATTCTGTGTGCATATTCCTGACGTCATACTGTATGCACTTTCAATAATAAACAAATGTCCTTATGGCATATTAAACACTAGATTACGTTAGCACATTTAAAAGGCTATATAAACATATTTTGATTTCACATGGAATTCATTTTAACAACAAAATTGTGAAACCTTGAAAACATAAAATATTTCCAAATATCAAATAAGTTTATTAATAATATTAACATTTCTATTATAAATGGCTTCAAAATCCAATGATTACTCAACCGATGATTACCTAGCGGTAAGAAATTCACGTGACTTCTCGGGCAAAGTAGTTTTGGTGACCGGATCCAGTTGGGGTATAGGGGAGGGTATCGTTAAACTGTTTTCTGTATTGGGGGCTAACGTGGTGGTCACCGGTAGGAAAGTGACTGAAATCCATAGAGTGGCTCAAGAGATACAACAGTTATCACCACAAAAACTAAAGGTATGTACAGTAAGTTATAGTGGTTACATGTTAATAAGTTAACCTTAAACTCTATTAGTATTTTTGCTGAAATGGTCCCAGGCAAACAATAACTTAATTCATAATAGAATAAGTAATCAGATTTAATAGAATTTGTTTATTATTATTATTCTGTATTATTTTATATAGAATTTATAAATTATAAGAAATATTAGATTAATATTAAATATAATTCTTGTGTTTATGATATTATAATAAGTAGTAATTTGTATAAAATGTTGAAAAATAGAAACTTATTATTTTCAAAGCCGTTAGAAGTGTCGGCAGATCTGACCAAAAGGGAAGACGTCGAGAGACTTATCAATGAAACCATCAAAACGTTTGGACAGTTGGATGTGTTGGTCAATAACGCCGGCCCCTATGTGAACGGTAACATTCACGACCAGAATATAATAGATCAATTTGATCAGGTCTTTAATATGGACGTGAGGGGTGTCATGCAAACCATACAGACAGCACTCCCACACATCGAGAAGTCAAAAGGCGTTATCATTAATATATCAGCTATTTTAGGACTCGCACCGGTATGTCATTTTAATTAGTCTATATAATTATTAAATAATTAGTAAACTTTAAATTTAAATTATATTATGTTTGAAGTCTACGTTACCGTTGAACTACTGTATGGCAAAAGCGGCTCTAAATATGATGACAGAGGTATTGGCCCTCGAGTTGGGACCCAAAGGGGTTCGCGTTAATACAGTCAGGTATTCATAGCCATTATATTTAAATAATAAAATCTATAAATAAAATCATACGACTAGTCCGGCAGCGACTGAAGGCCCCGGTGTTACCACAGAAATGGTGAATACGATCACAAAGACATCACCCCTGCGACGAGTGGGCCAACCCCTGGATATCGCCAAAGCCGTGGTATTCCTGGCCTCGACTGACGCCCAATACATAACCGGCGAGAATGTGGTGGTCGACGGCGGACAACGATATTTTGGTCCACCCCTATAGGGCTTTCATTTGCCATATTTGACATACTTGTCCTCCTGTTAGGACAAACACAATCTGAAATGAATATTAAGAGTCTATTCATGAATTTGTATTTTAATAAAATACTTTTTTACTTTAAAGTTTTTTGTTATTACTGTAATACATTTTAAACAATGTTTACTATTAGTAATTGTTAGTTACTGTATAACAAAACTTATGATAATGAAAACCAACTTCATAATAAATACTAACCAGCAACAAACTTACATAGTTTATATCGCAAACTAGTTATAATAAATAAATTATTATATTTTAATATTATAAATAAAATATAATGCAATTCAGGCATGAAAAGTATACTTTATTCCCATAGTATGGTATAGCATATAGTATAGTATACCATAGTATGGTTTTCGTTAAATATATTTTTTAATTAATAGTTATAAAATTGTCTTAATAACTTTTTACGGTAATTTATATTAGCAATGTTGTTTATTTAAATGTGTAAATATTAATAAATACATAAATTATTTTAAATTATGATTTTTAATACATATTTATTTCTACATTTACCAATCATGCAATACTAATTTACTACGATAAAATTACACATTATTTCGTAAAATATAATATAATATTTTATATGATTTAAATTGTTATGGACAAAAAAATTATTGCAAAGTTTTTAATTATTAAAAAATGTATTTGCCTTGGGCAAACCCTTGTGCCTATGACATTTAGTTAAAAAATAATTACGACTCATATTATACACGACATGAATGTCATAATTTATGTTGAAATCATTTTTAAATTTGAGCCAAATTTGAGCGACAAATGCCGTAAACATAATGACAGAGAACCCGAACCATAGGCCCACGACACTCGCCATAAGACACACGAACTCTTCGGCAGACATTTTCAGTTGTATCTCATATAAGACCAGGGGTTCAGTGGGCGGTGCGTACGTTATTAAGTACTCGTCACGGCCTTTACCAGGGTGACTTGTTTGTGCCACCCTGGTAATTACTCGATAGTAATCTTTATGGCAATCAACTAACGATGAACACGATT